TTTTTTTTTAAATAAAAAAAAAGAAGATAAATAGATAAAGTAGAATTAAAATAGAATAATTTAAAAATGATTTGCCAGTGAGGAATGAAACATTTTTTAAAAGGGAAACAAAAGTTTATTTTTCTTGCCTCACCTGCAAATCAGTTTTTAAATCTAAAAACAAAAATTCAAAGGGTTCAAAAATTCAAATTTTTTTGCTTCTTTATGAATGACTGCATGCAGTAATCTTAATTTTGATACAGAAAATGTATCTTGTTTTAAGGATGAGCTATTTGTTGTTGTTGTTATTATTATTATTATTATTATTATTATTATTATATTTTTTCAGTATTTATTTATTTATTTTTGCAGTGATATCATTAAAACATGATCTTATATTCAACATTTTGTCATCTACCTGTGGTTTGAAGAGCTCTCTCTCACCGGGCTTATAACATCATCAAATCATATATGAAAAGTTCATTTTTTGGGCCAGTGTAGTTACAAGCAATGTGTTTAATATATTACTTTGTTATAACTGTATGCATTCTCTCTCTTTTTCTCCTTCTCAGAAATATAGATATCAGGATGAGGATACCACGTCGCCTCCAGAACACAGCTCTCCACACCTACCAGGGGATGTGCGTCCTCCTGAGCTGGTGCAGGTGTCGGAGAAGAACATCTCCCAGATTGAGAATGTACATGGCTATGTTTCCCATTCACACATCTCTCCTATGAAGGTAAAATCTCCCAGCATTCCTCTGGCTCCATGACACATTTCTGTGCTGCATGGCATCTATTCTGTGTCTCTGTGCACTCTGTAAACATGCTTAAATGTTGTGTGTGATAGAATCTCCATCAGTGTCATGTTTACACATGAGCACAAACATACACACAAAATAAATTACATTCATACACACTACATTAAAGACAGACTTTAATGTAAAAACAGATGCATTCGTTAAAGTGTAGAACATCATAACTAGGATGAATATTTCGGTTCAGTGTTTTGTAGGCTGTGAAGTAGTTTCTGCCACTGGAATGTGAAAAGATAATTTTTCTAGCCTAAGCTGGTTTGCTGGTTTTAAAGGGTTTTTGGAAAGCTGAGAAGCCAGATTGCAAAACGGCCAAATCAACTGAACACTAACTTGTCCAAGTTTGAAGACCAGGAAGACCAACTTAAAGGGATAGTTCACCCAAAAATGAAAATTACCCCATGATTTACTCACCCTCAAGCCATCCTAGGTGTAAATGACTTTTTTCTTTCGAATACAGTCGGGATTATATAAAAAAATGTCCTGCCTCTTCCAAGCTTTATAATGGCAGTGAATGGTGGTCGAGGGCCTTCTGAAGCGAAGCGATGCGTTTGTGAAAGAACAATATCCATATTTAAAACGTTATAAACCGTAATCTCTAACTTCCGCTAACTGTCATACTTGCTTTCATGAGAGCTCCAGTGAGAAGTGACGAACGCGTAAGTGCATAGGAGAGAGCAAAACAAAACACCAGTCACGAATTAGAAGTGCAAAACAAGGATTTGTAAAGAAAATTGCCAGAGGATTTCAATATAAGCCAAGAGGAGACTGGTTTTCCTTTGCAGGAAACAAAACTTGGTTCTTGAGAGAGCATATTCTCTCTAGAGCTTACGCTACGCCTATGTCCTACGTCATCTGCTGGAACGCAACTCTCTCGTGAACACGCATATGACAGTTAGCGGAAGATTACGGTTTATAAAATTTTAAATATGGATATTTGTCTTACACAAACACATCAGTTCACTTCAGATGGCCTTTATTAGCCCCCTGGAGCCATGTGGAGTACTTTTTTATGATGTATGGATGCACTTTTTTGGGCTTTAAAATCTCGACCACCATTCAATGCCTTTATAAAGCTTTGAAGAGCCAGGACGTTTTTTTATATAATCCCGACTGTATTCGAAAGAAGAAAGTCATATACACCTAGGATGGCTTGATGGTGAGTAAAACATGTGGTAATTTTCATTTTTGGGTGAACTATCACTTTAAACCAGCTAAGACCAGCAAAACACCATATTTAGGCTGCTTTTTCTCAGACAGGTAGATGAAGTGAATTTCACCTGTAGTGCTGTTTGGAGGCTTTGAGCTCACAACAAAGTAATGTTACCTAGCTGCTATGTTGTATAAAGTTCAACATACCGTGTAATATATCATGTCCACTGCTGAGAAAACAGGTCAGTAGCAACCCCTTGAAAATAATAGCTCTGTTCCAAATGCTAGTGCCTTGCTATCTACTTCCTTCATAAGAAACTGTTTCTAACCAAAAGGAACCTCATAAGACATTGGTTTGAACTTTTCTACTTTGACATTTCAAACTTTCAACTCACACATAACACAAATAGTGCTCATGAAGTGCATGTGAGATTAGACTCCCAGCTGATATAAAGTACAGTATGTGTTAGCACATGTTGCTAATGACACAATACTCTAAACACTAAGCACACACAAATGGAAAATTTTAATTATAGGCTATATAACTACTTTTCGTATAAAGGCCTATGACGTGACTGATAGTTCATTGTAGAAGCTTAATGCAAGTCGAGTGCCAGACAAGAAGATCCCAAGCGCAGACGCAAGAAAGAATTAGCAACATTATTTATTAAAAACTGGACTTCTACCCAGTTAGCTTTGTTTATCTGCTCATCATTAATGCATTATAGCCAGTCCACAGAGTCCGCTCTGCTGTAGTTTTCTGCAGTAGTTGGATGGAACTCTTAAAATATGGATGCACAGTGAAACATTTGTCAAGAAAAGATTGTGCATAGCCTGATTATGTTTTCAGTATCTTGCGTATCTTGAATCGATCTCGATTCAATATCAATTAATGTGTATATACTGTAAATATAAGGGGATAAAAATATTTTGTTGAATGCAGTTGAATGCCTTTTTAGCACCATTTTAAACTTGGTTTAAATTCAGTATTTGCTTACATTCATTGTGTGTAATTATGCAAGTATCAAAGGATGAAAAAGGGTTAAAAAAAAAGGGATAAAATGGATGTCAGTTATTAACTTTTTAAATTTCTCATTTAAAAATCTAGTGTTTAATCATGTCTAAATATTTATTCAAATGAAGAACTTAAAAATAAGTAAGCAGGTATGACCTGCAATATTCTAGATATATTTAGTAAAGAGCCATACAGGTACCTAGTGGGTAAACGCATTACAAATGAAGAACAAAAAATTTCTGACCACAAAATGACTCTAATTAGCCTCTTTGCATTGGAATTTAAAACCCTTTTTCTATTTTAACCTTACATACTACACTAATTGTAATATAAGTAATAGAAATATTAGGAAAAAAATATTATAAGTCATTAATGGACCATAATTATTGCACAAATAGTATTTAGTACCAAAAGATCTCCTCAAAATATTAAATAAATATTATTGAACTAAAATACAGAACATTTATTTAACTGAAAAATAGTTAAGCTGTATGGTCACATTATAAGTAAGCAATACCTGAGGGTTAAGAAAACCATATTAATGCTGCCTCTCCATGACTCTCCAGAATAAAATGATACTGTAAATGTCATTGACGTAATAATCAATGCATAATATGCTGAAATGTTTACCAAAAATTGCTGCAAATACCTGTATAATGAAGCTGTCATGAAAAAGGGTTAAAAAAAAAGGGATAAAATGGATGTCAGTTATTAACTTTTTAAATTTCTCATTTAAAAATCTAGTGTTTAATCATGTCTAAATATTTATTCAAATGAAGAACTTAAAAATAAGTAAGCAGGTATGACCTGCAATATTCTAGATATATTTAGTAAAGAGCCATACAGGTACCTAGTGGGTAAACGCATTACAAATGAAGAACAAAAAATTTCTGACCACAAAATGACTCTAATTAGCCTCTTTGCATTGGAATTTAAAACCCTTTTTCTATTTTAACCTTACATACTACACTAATTGTAATATAAGTAATAGAAATATTAGGAAAAAAATATTATAAGTCATTAATGGACCATAATTATTGCACAAATAGTATTTAGTACCAAAAGATCTCCTCAAAATATTAAATAAATATTATTGAACTAAAATACAGAACATTTATTTAACTGAAAAATAGTTAAGCTGTATGGTCACATTATAAGTAAGCAATACCTGAGAGTTAAGAAAACCATATTAATGCTGCCTCTCCATGACTCTCCAGAATAAAATGATACTGTAAATGTCATTGACGTAATAATCAATGCATAATATGCTGAAATGTTTACCAAAAATTGCTGCAAATACCTGTATAATGAAGCTGTCGTCTATCCTACTTAAACCCATTCAAATGTATTGTTAACGCCGGTTTGTTTGGAGAGCTCTGTGAACCACGTGACCACGCAGCGACGCCGGCGAGATCAAAGCTTGTCGCAACTCTGTTTTTCAATGGCTCTGGCTTTAACTGAAGCGCTACATTTTATGATTTACACCACATTAAGTGCTCCAAAACGGTATTTATTGTTTGAATTTAGTATTAAAACTTACTAAATTTAAAAGCTGAGACTTTGTTTCATATCACAACTGTTCAAAAACTTTTGACTGGTAGTGTATAAGTAACTTTAATTTTTCTCTTATTTCTAGCTTTAAATTGGCTAAGAAATCAGATACACTGCTGGACAATAACCAATAATAATGATTTGTTTATATACTACAAACACTTATCACATAAGGCAGAATAGTTTCTATACTGTAATAAATGCTATGTCAATTAGCACTGTATTGCTATACTTTATTTAGTACCTGGAGATGACTTGAAAAACACAAATAAACCATATATTGTCACAATTGTATGTTTAATGTCTTCATGTTTCCAAACGTTTCTGTTTTTCTGTGAAAACAACTGTTTTTTCATACAGTGATAGCAAGATGCTTTTGTCCATATTAGGGATTTCCTGGTACGACTTTCTGTGCAAGAGTGCCTCTGGCTTCGAGTATGAATGAAACCCGCACTGCATGGAGTGTTTAGCACTCCGTGATGTTCATCTCGCCTTTATTCTGGGTCCGAATAAAACATCAGGTCATGCACAGACTATCCTTTAAATCTATATTTATTCACACCGGCTCTTGAAAACCTCTATGCGAACACGCTTGTCTGAAAAAGTGCGGTGGACGAATTTACGTGATATTAAAAGTGGGGTGCGGGGGACAGGACACGTCCCCCGCGTGATCTACGCCCACCTAGTGTTCTCACTCACTGGCGTCTTAAACGGCTCCAGTAAACTGCTATTATTCTTCATCGTTTGTAAAAGCCAGGTGAACATGGCGGTTTTAAAACCCATAATTCCTAGCACACCGTGAGCAGTGCTGATGTTTGAGGAGCTGTGCTGGGCTCAGATCAGTGGAGGTCCCTGCATGCCGACAGAGCAGCGCATGACAAGCCCTGCCTGTCACCTCCCATCAGCCTCAGCTGCGCAGAGCACGAGCTAGTGCTCTCTGTCCCCGCACACACACAAAAACACACTCGCTCTGTCATCACTATGAGCCTGCATTCCTCCTAAATCAGTCCATGTGCTCTAGGCTGATGGTGCTTTCTGGCTGCTGGCCCAGCTGACGCGCGGCGCTCTCTTAACTCTCCCTCACAACAATATGAGCACTGAGAACGCGTGTCGCCCTACAAACATGCATTTTTGCAATTATATTTCCTTTTCCAAAACGAATCATGCTTTGTTTACTAAAACAGAATTGGATAGATGATTGTGATTT